TCAAGTCAGGGATTGTGATGCCTCCTGCTTTGTCTTTGCTGCTTAGAATTGCTTTTGCGATTCTAGGTCTCTTCTGGTTCCAGATGAAATTTAGGAGTGATTTCTCTAGATCTATAAGGTATGTTGATGGTATTTCTATTGGGATTGCATTGAATCTGTATAAGAGTTTTGGGAGAATGGCCATCTTCACAATGTTTGTTCTTCCTATCCATGAGCAAGGGATGTCTTTCCATTTTCTGAGATCATCTTCAATTTCCTTTTTCAGTGTATTATAGTTTTCACTGTATAAGTCTTTCACTTCTTTCATAAGAGTAATTCCTAAATATTTCATTTTTTTGCTTGCTAATGTGAATAGTCCAGTTTCCCTTATTTCCCTCTCTGTGATTTTGTTGTTTGTGTATAGGAATGCTATTGATTTCTGAGTATTGATTTTGTATCCAGCCACATTACTGAATTTATTTATTGTATCTAAGAGTCTTTCAATGGAGCTTAGGGGGTCTTCTCTGTAGAGTATCATGTCATCTGCAAACAATGACAACTTAACTTCTTCTTTTCCTATCTTTACCCCTTTTATTTCTCTTTCTTGCCTAATTGCTCTGGCTAGTACTTCCAGTACTATATTAAATAGGAGTGGTGATAAAGGACATCCTTGTCTTGTGCCTGATTTTAAAGTAAAGGCTTTCAATTTTTGGCCATTTAGTATGATGCTGGCTGTTGGTTTGTCATAAATGGCCTTTATTATATTGAGGTAAAGACCATCTATTCCAATTTTCTGTAGAGTTTTTATCATGAATAAATGTTGGACCTTATCGAAGGCTTTTTCTGCATCTATAGAAATGATCATGTGATTCTTATTTTTGGCTTTATTGATATGGTGGATTACATTTATTGATTTGCGTATGTTGAACCATCCTTGCATTCCTGGAATGAATCCCACTTGGTCATGTTGTATAATCTTCTTGATGATTTGCTGGATCCTATTTGCCAATATTTTATTGAGGATTTTTGCATCTGTGTTCATTAGGGAGATTGGTCTATAGTTCTCTTTTTTAGTTGGGTCTTTCTCAGGTTTTGGTACTAGAGTGATATTTGCTTCCAGGAATGACTTAGGAAGGATTGCTTCCCTTTCAATTTCATTGAATAGTTTGAGGAGTGTCAGCATTAGGTCTTCTTTGTATTTCTTGTAGAATTCTGCAGTGAATCCATCTGGGCCTGGGCTCTTCTTGGTGGGTAAGGACTTAATTACATTTTCAATTTCAGTAACTGAGATTGGGTTATTCAACAATTTTACATCCTCTTGATCTAGCTTTGGCACTTCATATGCTTCTAAGAATCTGTCTATTTCTTCTGTGTTATCAAACTTTTGAGAGTAGAGGTTTTCGAAATAGGTGTTGATGATCTTCTGTATTTCTATTGGGTCTGTAGTGATTTCTCCTTTTTCATTTCTTATTGCATGAATTTGAGCTTTTTCTTCCCTTTTTAAAATAAGGTTGGCTAGGGGCTTATCGATTTTATTTATTCTTTCAAAGAACCAACTCTTTGATTTGTTGATCCTTTGGATTGTTTTCTTAGTCTCTCTATTGCATTGATTTCTGCTCTGATTTTTATAATTTCCTCTCTTCTTTTGGCTTTGGGCTTGACTTGCTCTTCTTTTTCTAGCTGTTTGAGGTGTAGCATCAAGTTATTTATTTGTATTCGTTCTGTTTTCCTGATGTGGGAACTCAGTGCAATAAATTTTCCTCTCAGGACGGCTTTCATTGCATCCCACAGATTCCGGTAAGTTGTATCTGCATTTTCATTTTCTTTTAGGTATTGTTTGATTTCTTCTTTAATTTCTTCCGTGACCCACTGATTACTCAAGAGTGTGTTATTCAGTTTCCATGTGTTTGTGGGATTTTTGCAGTATCTTTTATCGTTAATTTCTAATTTCAGAGCGCTGTGATCCGATAACATGCAAGGGATGATTTCAGCTCTTTTGCACTTGTTTAAATGTGTTCTGTGAGCTAATATATGGTCTATTTTAGAAAATGACCCATGTACTGCTGAGAAGAATGTGTATTCTGATGTTGTTGGGTGGAACATTCTGTATATGTCTATCAAACCCATTTGTTCACAGGTATGATTCAGTTCTGTTATTTCTTTACTCATTTTCTGTCTGGTCGATCTGTCCCTTGGTGTCAATGGCGTATTAAGGTCTCCTATTACAATTGTGTTACTGATAATTTGAGTTTTCATTTCTGTTAATAATTGTTTTATATAACTGGGCGCTCTGGAGTTTGGTGCGTATATATTTAAGATAGTTATCTCTTCCTCTTGGAGTTTTCCCCTTACGAGTATGTAGTGACCTTCTTTATCCTTTATGGTCATTGTTGGTTTAAAGTTTACATTGTCTGCAAACAGAATGGCTACTCCTGCCTTTTTTTGGATTCCTGCTGCATGAAGAATTGTTTTCCATCCTTTGACTTTCAGTCTGTGAGTATCCTTCTGGGTTAGATGGGTTTCCTGTAAACAGCATATGGTTGGATTTTGTTTCTTGATCCATTCTGCTAGTCTGTTTCTTTTGGTTGGTGCATTGAGACCATTTACATTAATGTTTATTACTGTTAAATGTTGGTTAATTGTAGGAATCTTATCTCTCTGCTGTTGCATCTTTATCTTTCTGTTCTGTTTAATTATTTGCTTTGCTTAGTGGTTTTTTCCTTTGTGTATCTAAACTGTCTTTCAATATTTTTTGCAGGGTTGGTTTGGTGTTCATGAAGTTCTTCAGCTGTTCTTTGTCATGGAAGTATCGTATTTCACCATCTATTTTAAATGATAGTTTTGCAGGATATATCAGTCTAGGTTGGAAATCATTTTGCTTTAGGATCTGGAATACTTCACTCCATGCTCTTCTTGACTTTATTGTTTGTGATGAGAAGTCTGCTGTGATTCTGATAGGTTTTCCTTTATAAGTGATCTGTCTTTTCTCTCTGACAGCTTTTAATAATCTATTCTTGTGTTGGATTTCTGGGATGGTGATTATTATATGTCTGGGTGTAGTTTTATTTTGGTTATGACTATTTGGAGTTCTATATGCTTCACTGATCCTGATGTCAGTTTCTGATCTCATGCTTGGGAAGTTTTCAGCTATTGCTTCTCTAAATATCCTCTTGATATCCTTTATGTTGTCTCCTTCTTTTTCATTAATCCCTATCATTCTTATGTTATTCTTCTTTGCATCATCTTGCAGTTGTTGAATTGTTTTTTTCCTGATTCCTTGTTATTTTTAAAAGATCTTTCCTTTCCTGTTCACTAGCTGCAATCCTGTCTTCAAGGTCTGAAATTCTATCTTCACTTTCATTAAGGCGGTTTTTACAACTTTCAGTGGAGTTTTTTATTTCCTGTATATCTCTGTGCATCTGCATTATGTATTCTGTTTGTTTCTTATATTGCTCATCTAGGGATTCTATCTTTTTGTTTAGTTCCTCCAATTTTTTATCTGTGTTTTCTTTAGATATATTTAGAATCTCTTTCATTTCTTTTATCATTTCTTCTTTTATCTGGGATATTATTTCGAGTTTGAATTTCTTTAAAGCTTCCTGGAGTTGCTTGTCAACTTCAGTAGCTATTGTGTCTGATATATGAGGAGGATGGGATATGTTTTCTTCTAAATACATTCCTCCTAGGGTTTCATGAGATGAGCTGGGGGTTTGAGGTTGTAATTTGGTCTTTCGTTTTGTCATTTTCCTATATTTCTGTGTTTCAAGTGTTAATTGAAAGCCTCCTCAGGATCTGTTGAAAATCCCCTTCTATGTTTGCAGCTACTGAGACTCTGGCACCACTCTACCCCAGACCATTGGGCCTGCAGAACCAATGGCCCTACTCTGCTTGTTCAGAACTCCGCGGTTCCAGACAAGCTGGGCCTCAGGGACACTGTGCGCCCACCTGCCCCTTGGCAGATCCACAGCTCTTGAATCGCAGCCGGGTTAGGGTACTCACCACAGGCCTCAGTGCCTCAGGAGCCTGTGATCCCTCCCTGCTTGCAGAGATATTCACTCCTCCAGAAAAAGGAAGGGGCTTCTACGGGCACTCTGGATCAGCCCAGCTCCTCCTCTGCACGCAGATGGCTAGGCGCGGCTGGGCTGGGGCGGGGGGGATAGTGTAGGCCCGCCCACCCGGTGAGCTCCACAGACCTCTAGGTGTAGCCGGGATGGGGAAGCGGCAGTAGTGGCCTCTAACCCACTGCTCCACTTCACTGCACCCAGAAGCCTGGGGGGTCCGGAACAGTCTGAGATTTGGGCAGACTGTGCTGGCCACTCACCACAGGCCGAGGTGCCTCAGGAACCTGGGATCCCTCCCTGCTTGCAGAAATATTCACTCCTCCAGACAAAGGAAGGGGCTTCTGCAGGCACTCCGGATCCGCCCAGCTCCTCCTCTGCACACCGATGGCTAGGCGCGTCTGGGCACAGGCATTTTATTTTCTAAGACAATGTGGGAATTTTATAATAGGAGTAAATGGTGTTTTATTAACAAAGGTGATATAAAATTACTGAGTGCTTGTTGCTGCCAGCTGCTGTGATAATGTGTTTTTGGCTATTTTGGTGTGTCGGGGGTACCAGGAATCAGATCATGACCTTATGCTTTCCAGGGAGGTACTTGTGCCATTGAGCTATATCCCCAGTCCTGAGATAATGTGTTTTTAAAAAATAATCACCTTACCTAACTTATGTAACCTTCGTGATGAACAACAGAGCATCCTCACATTCTGAAGCCAAAGAAATAGAAGCTAAAAGTAGTGGAAGAAATTCTCTGAGTAGTTGGTTCAAGCTGTGAAAGAAAAGTTAAAAATCAACACCAGGTTAAAAATCTGACGCCACGTTAAAGCAAGATGAGCTCCCGCAGCCCACACAGTGACTTTTAGACTCACGTGGCCTTGACTGACCACATCAGCTGCAGCTTAGAGACGGTCCAACCGGCCTGATCGACTGTGTCCGTCTGGACGTCCAGTGCTGCCTGCCATATAAACAACATGTTCTGTCTGCAAGGCCTGTCCAGCTGGGATAAACTAGTCAAGGACATGCTTAGCTCTACCTGCCCTGCTCATTAAGTCTCTTTTCCTGCCTCATAATAAGCAATTCTGCTCAGTTACTTCTGCCTGACAGTGCATGATTTAATTCATGTAACCAGGTATACAATAACCTGCCAGCAGCTTTTATATTTTCTGCTTACAAAATATGTGTAAGTTTCTATTTCATTCTCAGGAGGGGCTGGTGATTTGAAACCAATTCCTACCAGCCCACTTCTGTAATTAATCTCTGACTTCCACACTCCTCGGTGTGAACCGTTTGGCTCAGTACCGGCTTTCTGCAGGGAAGTGACCAAGTGGAAGCATGTGACTGGAGCCCAAGTCCTGCAGCTCACTCTGGAGGACGCAGTCTCTGACCACCACCCCAGGAGTGCCAAACTTTGAGGTTAGTGGGAATTCCACAATTTCTCAGAGACTTTTTGCCTCTTGGAGACGGTTTCCTTTGTTGCTAGTGAGATGGCAGTAGGGCAAGCCTAACATCCTACAACGGCTGAATGCTCTGCAAAGACAAATCTTGGTATTCCTTTGCCAACAGAGCCGGAGAGAGGGTCCCTGTTAGGAAAAAGTGAACAAAAGGAAAGAAACACAGAACAGCAGCAAAACCCTGCTTGCCTAGTGGAATCTGCGAAGTTCTTTTGTGTTGATCTCTTTTTGTAAGAGTCAGGATTGATCTAAGTTTATTACTTATGAATACAGTCATATCTTTGATTGCAGAGTTAATGTATCCAGTTAACTACACCCAGAAGATGCTGCTGCGGTTTGCGCTGTCATAAATCAGCGAGACTGTTAATAGTAACACTGCCTTAATCACTCTGATGCCTCTTGTTGCTAATGGGGACTATAAAAATAGACGAAGGTGTGAAGAAATGTACTTTCTGAAACTTGCCATGCTTGAAAGGAGGCGTGACATGGGCTTGCAAAGCAGGCCCATAAAAGCCTTTGTGCTGAGATTGCAGCTCCTTTGGCTGGCTTCCCATGGCTGTCCACGAAGCTCCTTCTTTATCTTTCCAGGAGCCTTACAGGGCGGGCCTCTTGGCCTCCACCCCTCAGACTCCGACTCCTGAGCTCCTCCTCCCATCGCAGCTCACAGGGACCCAGGCCTGGCACTGACCACGCATACATACTGTTTGCCGTTCATGCTGCTTCTCAAAAACCATTGAAATGCTGCTTTTCCAGCGTGCTTGACTTGAAGTGAACCAGGCTGAGATTTGGGGGCAGCTTCAGGCTGTACAAATACACTTCAATCAGTGGGCAAAGGGAAACACAGAAGCCAAATGGCCATTCGGCGCTTCAGTGTGGGATGCGCCGTAAATTCTCAGTCTGTTCAGTAGCTTAACTTTATCAGGGCATGAGCCAGTAACATTTATCTTCATTTCTCAACTTAGTGCCTGCAGCAGGATGATGGCTGTGTTATGTTTGGTTTTCTTGGCATTATGTTTGAATTAAATGAAGACCGAATGGGACCTAGAAGAAAACATCTCTCTTTCTGACCTACCCTTCTGGCCCAGTTTCCTGTATTTAACAGACACGGTGGCAAACATAAGAACTGACCCACATGCTGAGGCTTCCACAGAACCAGGGCAGGCCTTGTGGAAATGAAGAGAAATAGCATTTAAAGTGTTTCTTAAATTGGATCCTTCTGCCCCAACCTCAGCAGACCTGTGGAGCAGGCATCCATGTGATTTTCTTGTTGGAATAGGTTGAGGGGAGGAGGAGAGGCATGCAAAATAGTTTTTTAGGTTTCTGTGTCTCATTAACAAGTGGATAAATTAATTGCGTCACACGTCCATCTCAATTTTATCTGCCTCGCTAACACTAAATTGCAGCTGGAGCTCGTGAGTGCTGGGCTCAGGTGCAGCTGAAGGCTCTGTGGAACGAGGGCATCAAATGTGATTTCACGTCAGGATTAGTTTGGCAAGAGTGTAGGGACGGCTACGAGGGTCCTGTGGGGATGAGAAGAGGCTGGATTGTTAAGGATCTTGGTTCAGGAATATCTCAGGGAAGGAGGTTGACATGTCTTGGTGAATACTTCTGATTTCCCAGGTGCTTAAGAGGCAAAAAAGAGCTGAAAGGATGGACCCAGGGCCTTTCTCTTTGCAGGCCCTGAAGGACCAGGCACTTTTCTCCTGAAGCCTCAACAGGACCTCAGACATGCCTGCTTCTATAATTGGCAGCCATGGCAGGAAGAGACTCCCTCTACCACTGCTAACCAGCTTCCGCCCCACTGAATCATCAGAGCAAAAACTGCAGCTGGACAGAGCAAAGGCATCAGAACCAAGAGAACACAATCCGCTGCTGTCCTGAAGAGAACAGAAGTCTGACTTTCTCCAGTGAGGGGGAGTCACTGCCTTGACTGGGGTCTAAGTCTTCTCTCACCTTCTGACTTGAACTGCAACACTGGCTTTGCTGAGTCTTGAGTCTACAGCCTTTCAAATAAAACTTATACCGTCAGCTCTCCTAGGTCTCCCATTTATTGACCACAGACCTGTGACTTATCAACCTCCAAATCTTGTAAGCCAATTCCTTACAATAAACCTCTTGTTTTTCCTCTGTGCATATCCTCCTGGTTCTGTTTCTCTGTGCAACCCTAATACAGATTTACACTTGGGAAACGCAGTGAGTGTTTACCAGGAATGGAGTGATTTCATCGGTGATTGTATTTTCATCTACACCATAATGTCTTATGCAGGCATTAAAGAAGCAAAAGCAAAACAAAACATACCCATTAGGGCGATTTAGGGCGGTTTCCCTGAGGAGGGGGTTCATAGTGAGGAAAGCCAGGCACAGAAAACCGCTGAAAATATAATCCTGTTTTGTAAAATAAACAACTCTGTACTTCTTAAGCATGTTTATACTGTATGGAAGGAAACGTGCTGTGTGGTTACCAGAAGGTTCCTCTCTGGGGAAAGAGGCCATAATGTGGGTGCAGCCGTAGGGGCCAGGAGCAGGGAAGCAAACCAAACACTACATTTGCACAGATAGGAACAACGTGTATGCAGGGGTTAGGAAATTTTAAACAGTTTTTTAAAAGAGGAAAGAGAAAAGAAGAAACAGCGGGTGGGCAGTGCTGCTGAATGCTCCTGAGACCTAGCTTGATGGGAGGCCAAGCTGCATCCTCAGGGCGGCTACTCACCACCATCCCTGACGTCACTTGACCCAAGCAAGCCATCAAGTTGCTTTGGGGTCAGATTTAGAGCTAAGGATGGAATTGTATATACCAGCTGTCAGCAGGCCGGACTGGCGTTCCAGGGGCTCCTGCTGTATTTCAGCATAAGGTCCTGAGCGGGGGGGTCTGAAAGCAGTGTACATGAGGCGAACACGGGCTAGCAGCCCGCCTTACTCCATGCCCTGACTAGGGCACCCTTCTGAGCTGGTCCAGTCCTAATGTTAAATTCCATGGAAAAGAGCTTTTAACATTAAAATTTTTGCTAAGTGTAAAGTAATTCTTAAATTCCTAAGGTTTTTTTGGTGAATTAAAGAGAACTCGGTGGTGTCCCTATTGCATCTTTATGACTTTGGAGTCCCAGAGCGGATTTCAGTTTATTTATAGAAAGAAAATTCATCTCTTAGTCTCTGCTCCTCTTGCTGCTTATTGCTGCTCACCAGTGTGAAAACGTGGCCTCAGTCAGGCGGGAGGCACAGCTGCCTTCCCTAATGACCTCTGCCTGCCAGGAGCAGTCACAGCAAGAGTGACACTAGCCTGAGCTTCTGGAAAGGGGAGTCCTGAAGGGAGCTCAAGGGGCGTCCGCTCCCTGGACAGGGACTCGCCTCACCGGCTGCAGGGCCTGAGTGTGTTTGCCAGGAGTCTGACCTGGAAGACTGACAGCTGCAAAGTTGCCTCTGGAGGGAGCTGGTGGCAGGGAGACTCTGAGTGAAGTCTCTTAGACCCCGGCCTGCGGGCGTTTGGTGCACTCCCTCTGCCTGCGAAGGGCACTGCCTTCCCTCAAGGTGCACGTCTTCCTTGGCGTCTGCCAAGTACCACTTCAGCCTAGATAATGGCTGGTCTCCCCCCATTAGAGTTCTTGTTCTGAAAATGACATTTTATGAAAACTTAGAAGGGTTTTTGTTTTTGAATCCTTCTGTTCAAGATACATTTCATCACCCTGTCCTGTTTGTTTCCTCTCTGTCTTGCAGCCCTGTGTGCCAGCCTCCTGCCCTGCCTCTCCCCTGCAAGGGCTGACACTGGTACACATGGAATTTATTTCAGTCTCCGTGAGATGTTGGCTTTTATACACATAATTCACATCTCAGACTCACTCCTGGAGACAAAATAGATTTGTTCATTCTTAAAGTGTTTTTAATTAGTTTTTGAAAGAATCTTCTGACCCAAACCAACTTGGGCAATGTGGAAAAACAAGACAAAGCTGGAGGCGGCGTTGCGGATTGCACTCAGGCCTCGCATACACCAGGCAGGCACCCACCACTGGGCCGCCCCCAGGCCTATGCTGTGAATATTATCTGAAGTATTTGGTTGATTCCAACTTGGATAAAAGGAGAAAGACTACGAAAAGGCACAGAAATACATAGAGGACAAATTGTGGTAGCTCCAGTTCTAAAATACTTAATTTTTCAGGTTTCAAATTGGAATACAAATTCTGGCGAATACATGTGTAATAGTGAAAGTAATCAGGCAGACTGTTTACGTTTGACTTTTCCAGAATTCAGAAGAAGGTAATAATTACTCTATCTAGGTATGCAGAACAAGGAGTCAGAGAACCAAGCCATATAAATCTCAAGGGAAATGAAGTGTTAGTGTCATTGCTACCTCTGAAACGCTAGAGGATTTCAGAGCTAGGAGCCCCTCTCTGTTGAGTAATTATTTAGGGAAGTCGTTTTACAGTGCGGTCTTTGACTCCTTCTCCAGTAAATGATTAGAAATTGATGTGGAGTGATTTCTGGTCAGTTATGGACCTGGCCTCCAGATTGCTAATGTTTGAAGGAGCCCAGAAAAGTAGTAATGAGAACATTTGCTGTGGGTTGCTGTTCTGAGCCTAGCTTCTGGGCACAGTCTGCACTTGAAAATGAAATTGAAGTCTTAAAAACACAATCAACGTTTCTTTAATTTTCTAGCTTCTGCCCAAACCCCTGGGTTTCTGTCTTTAATACTCTGGGAAATGAAAAGAGACTCTTTGATTACTCATGGCCCCAAGATGTTGTTCGTGGTTTCTGCTAAGAGGAATGTTAATTGCTCATGCAGAATAGAAATATGAGCCCCCAGGATTTCGCAGGATAGGGCCAAATTGTTTCTCAAGAAAGATTTCTCAAAATCACTCATAATGGACTGAAAATCATCTAATTTGAATTTGCAATATGAGAAGCAAGTGCTTTAATAGATTGAATTCCAATTTATATAGCAAAAATTTTTATTGGGTTTGGTTCTTTCAAAAATTGAGGATAAATCAGGCCAGGCTTGAGTGTATTGTTCACAGTTTAAAAAAATAGCATTATCCTTCTCCTACCTCTAATGGAGCAGGCCTTTCATGAACATCATGGTGCCCTGAAGTGTCCAGCAACCCTGATGCTCACCATGTTCATTTCATGGGGGATGCACATGCAAAACGCACAGAAGTCTTGTTCTGACCTTAGGTCTCAGTTAGTTTAAATTTGTTTTCTTTCCACTTTTCTGAACCTGAAAGCAATGGTTTTCGGTACAGCAGGAGGATACTGTGGCTCTGCTCCTCGGTGCGCTTCTAAGTGCTTCATGGCTGCACCTTCAAGAACATCACTGCTGTTTGTGTTTCTTTGTCTCAAAAAATATGACTTACAGATTTGAACAACTTAGGCACAGACTGAACTAGAACTGTAGAAAACAGTTGTTGGTAGGAGTTTAGGGATCATATTCAACTCAGGAGTTTTCCTACAAGTAGAGAGTTTTCCTTGTCTTTCTGGAGGAAGGCTTGCTTGGGGTGGGCATATGTATTCTTTTCTGTTGAGTTGACCAGGCCAGTAGAATACTTCTGCTGGGGAAAAAGGGCCAGAAATGAACCAAATGAGGAACACAAGTGTTTACTTTCTTGGTTGGCTTTAGGAAGCAAGGAGCTAAAATCTTGAAGTGGAAGCACCTTGCATATGGCTTTCCTTCAGGATTGGGGTAAGTTTTTCGCTGTGTCCTTTTTGTGTGCTGATGTGAGGTTCAGTATGCGTTTGATGGGTTCAGAGTAGAAGTTAGTTTTTGAATTCTCCTGCTTACTCTTTCTTTTGGGCTTCCTTCTGGGAATCTACCCAAAGAACGAGTACCACATTGGATGACTATATATTTTTTTCTTTCAATTAATTGGCTTGTCTTGTAACCTCTTAATAAGAGTATTTTGAAGTTAAGAAAGAAGGGAGAAAGGACACTGGTGTATTTTCTAACTGTATAGGATAGATGTTAATTCAAAAAATAAAGCAGGTAAGCAGGGATCTTAGAGTGCAATCCACGGCAGCATTTAACAATAGTTTTAAAAATTCTTGGTTTTAACAGTTAAGATTCTTGAAGATATTATTAGGAAGCTTCTTTGTATAGCTGCATGTATAACAATAATGTGCTAGAAAACTAGTTTTCATAGACATAACAGAGTTAAACATTATAAATTTTGTATGAGAGGAATCTGAATGCATAAGATTTTGCTGTAGTGATATTATCCACTGAACTTCATTTCATATGAGATTATGAGTTAAGTTTAAAATCTAGGCAAACTTAGGATCTATCTTTGAAGTTTGTATGAGAAATTGAAATTCTGGGAGGAAACTCAAAATTGTCCATATATAATTTCTAATTTGTGTTGTGCTATTTCAGTGTAAGGATAATGACATGAAGTAGAAATTGTCTTTTAGTAGACAGATGAAGGTAATTACAGTGATTATAAGAGATGCTGGAAAATATTGCAGTAAATTGACTAATTTAGTTCACATTACAGAAACTATTAAAATGAAAGCATTAAATTGTAAGTGTGAAATATTTATTAAAAATCACATAGCACAAAATCTTTAGAGCTGGCAATTTTATAGAGGCCACCTTCCATCTCTACTGACCCCAATTTGCAATATATGATGCATGTTTAGAAATCAGTCTCATAAAAGATGGAGCCTAATCCTTCCTTCCTTCCTTCCTTCCTTCCTTCCTTCCTTCCTTCCTTCCTTTCTCCTCCCTTCCTCCCTCCTTCCCTTCTGTTTTCTTCAGTCCTTTAAAACTTGGTCTCTTTCTCCTTGGTATGTACCCCCGAGGAGTTATATGTACAAATCTTTTGTCTTTGCAGGGGTGGAGGTACTAAGAAGAAATTTCCAGGTGGGGAAAGGCTAAAGATTGAGTGGGAAGAAAACGTTCATTTGCTCACAATGTCTCGGTCCTGTTCTCATGTTACTCAGCTTCCTGGATGCAAAGGGCGTCGCAGAGCATCGGTGGAGGAGTGGGACCATGTGCATCAGAGCCAGGGTCATCCGGTGTCTGTTGCTGGCTGCTTACTACTGCCAGAGTTTCCCGGGGCTGGGTGTGTTGGAGAAGTTCTCTTCTTGGTGCTGACCTGGCCCTGGGTCCATCCGGACAGCCCCCTACTCAGCTTTGCAGCTCT